TATAAAAAAAGCTTTCGACTTTTTTCAATGCGGAAAGAATTTGGGATGAATTAATAGTGATAGTGAAGTAGTGCTCAGAGTCTCATGCACTAAAAAATCAAAAAAATCTGCGCATACAATAGCACTCGAAATTCAAAAATAAGCCCTATAAACGAGTGAAATATGCAATTAAAATTATTTTCCGATTGACAGTTTAATAGTGGTTCAGATGAATGGTTGGGGGTTTAAGGGGATTGTCACCCTGGTGGCACGCAATTAGCAAGGACGTCATACAGAGAGAGGCAGCTGCACTCGTGAAACATTCTGCAGGAATGGCTTGCGTTATCCTTGGGAGAGCTGGACACTCGCACAGGAAGTTTTGAGCCAGGGTCATCGCAGCAACTGCGACAGAACCTATCAATTCGGCATGTATCCCAAGGCGCCATTACCCTGTGCAGTCTGCAGTAAGTTTGTGGGTATCTTTATTGCTCATTCCTAAGAGAGCTTTGGTTTTAAGTGGGTCGTGTAGGACACCCAGAACTGCCGGGTAATCCTGTACGATACTGTATAGTTCCACCTCTGCTTGGCCTTGAAGTGATAAGTTTCGGTAATTTTCAGTACGGAGCCGCACCTTGCTAGTTCGTCCGCTGCCTCCTTTTCGTAATTGTCTCTATGTCCCGGAACCCATATTTTTTTCTGAGTTTAGGCGATGTAGCAGTCTCTTTGATAGGAAAAATGATAGGTAGCGCTGGACAAAGTTACAAGGCTCTTTTTGGGCCTTGGCGGGTCACCGACAGTCGAAGGAATTTTCAGTGTTTTCTCGACGAAGATTTTCGAAAGATGTCTAAGTTAGCCTTCCTCATAGTTAGCATCAAAACTATGCAGCGGTTTTGAACGGAAACTCTTTTAAATCCGTTCACCCTTGCATGGATGACTTATTTTTCCATGGATGAAAATAAATCGCGAGGCCACAACGATGTATTGTTTCTTCTTCGTATTCGCATCCGTAGACACCCGTCGGCAAAATTTAATGATTCAAGCGCGTCTTATTTCTATTCTTTTGAAACGATTGGTATTCCGTGCTACTCGAATTTTTACTCCTTTTTTGCATGGTATAGCCACAGTTTGCAGCCATGTGATTCAGCTTCTCCCAGAATAGCAAAACTGTTGGTAGAATCGCTCCTTATTTTTCCCGACTAGTCTGCCTATTCTTACAAAGGCGATGATATCGCACACTTAGATCTAAAGTGAGCTAACTCAAAATTCAGAGAGGGAAATTTAACTGCTTGTGAATGGTACAGATTCGAGGCAATTAATTCAAAAACAGGTATAACAGTAATTTGTTACTTACTTACTTATGTATATAATCGTGAATAAAAAATATTTCCATTAATTGGATGTAAGTCCTATTAGAGTATTTTTTGGATAATGGGTCGCAATTTGTGCCAAAAATAGTAAGAAACTCTTGTTATGAAAAAACGGTTAGATTATATTGAGAAAATAAATAATTTAATATTTTTCACGAAGCTCAAATGTGATTTTTGCAAGCTAAAACAATACCAAGAAGATTTATAAGAGACGAGTAGGATTCTGTGGGCGGGACTTGTAACTTCAATACATAACGTGAATAGAGGAATGAAAAATGGCAAAATGTTTTTTAATAAATGGATAAAATTAGAAAAATAGTATTTAGTAAGGCATGCTTCTAGACACCCCCCTCGATTCAGAACAAATTTCGTAGAGTATTATAGCTGAAACACAATGCCGGCGAACGGCAAACTTCGCCGAATCGGGCGATCCTGTCACTCACCGTTGCATTTTTAATTTAGGTGACCATATTTAAAAAAGCGAAACCTTATTTGGAAATGAGAAGACTATAATAAATATAAACATAAAACAGAGAGAAACTAGTTTAAATTATATTCTTTGGAGCCAGATTTAACCGATCGGTGACTGTATTGTTCAACCAACAAAAATAATACGGGTTATATGTTGTTTTCATCTAAAACTTTGAAAGCAAAAAAACAACATACGGCTACCTTTGGCAGGTACTTACTGCCGCCATCGCCCAGCAGAGCGATAGAAATAAATCTATCGCCATGAAACGTCGCCGAGCGAACTTCGCATTTCACTTCACGCGAATTTCGCCTTTCGTCGGCATTGTGCTGTAGCTATTAGTCGTAATTATTATTTACCCATCAGTCTGTGATGAACTTTCGTATGTTTCGGGACTATATATGTAGATTAGTTAGTGCAAATTTTGATATCTTCGATGGGTTTAGGTTAGTGGCGCAACACCGAGCTACATACTTCATTCCGCATGCAAGCCTACCCAGCTCGAAATTTCCGCCAGCACAAATAACTGAGCATCTAAATATGTAAGTATGTATTTACCTCTTCGCTAGAACCTCTCATCACCGCGCAGCGCCAGCGACGTCTTCACTTTCATTGCGTATTTATCTGGGTTTTGGCTATAGTTGGAATTGGTTGAGCTGGTGGAGTTCGTGTGGCTGGTACCAGGCGGCCGGCGCTTAAGTAGGCTTTCGAGAAATCAATTATAAATAAAACGGTTGGGTTTTTTTTTTGTTTTTTTTTTTGTTTTGTTAAAGTTCGCTTCTTTTCTCGACTGATGTTGGCAACGAGTAGCGATACAATTTCTTGATGGCGTTTTATACACAAAGTACTTGACTACTGATTAAGTTTACTGTTATTTATGATATATACACTGCAATTCAATTTTGTAAGTAGTTTTGCTTAGCTGTGGCGGGTGTGGTGAAAAATGAATGGCGGGTTGAAAGTGGCGGGCAACAGGTAGCAGGTACGGCGAGTACGGCATTGCTAGTGCGGCGCTATGGTCACCACTGCGACCTGCTTGCTTTCGCTGCTCTTTGCATTAGTTACTACACTCATTCTAATTGCAAACATAAAAGAGAAAATTTAGAATACAATAAAGTTGGTGAGGGGAAATCGGCGAGGTTAGGGCAATGAAAAGGGTATTATTAAAGACTAATTTCGAGCTTATTCGGGTGTGTATTTAGTAGTATTCATTTGCGTTTTTGTACTCAATTCACTTCAATTTTGTTATAAAGTAATGTTATATTATATGTATTAGGGTAGTAATTAAAACATCAATATCTTAATTTTGTTTGGGGCATCCTTTTATTTGGTTCTGTGTACAAAATAAAGATTTCGGCAAAAATTTCAAAATTTGTCACAAATTTTTAGAAGTCGCTCCCAGCACTGGAAAAAATTAAATTTTTTCAAAAATTTTACAAAATTTTGACTTGAATTGTGATAAATTTTGTATATTTTTTAAAATTATTCATATGTATATAGTCATAAACTCGCAGAGTTATAGATGATCAAATTTTGTAAATTTTTTTGCAATTTAAAAAAATCAAATTTTTGAAACCCCGGTAGTAACCCAAATTTTTTTCTTTTGTACATATAACAAAATGAAGGGGGCCCCATGATATTGACATTTTTAAGGACAACCCTTATATGTATGTATGTTTGTTAAATCGTGGTAGTAACCGTTCTAAGAAATATCTAAGTATGTATGTATTTACAATCCTCAAAAGACAATTATGTATTTATGTACCTTCATATTTATACAATCGTACATACATATTTACATACATATATGTATATTTTTTGATCTTTCCATTTCAATGAACGATGAATTTTATAAAAAAATTTATTTGTTAGAATTCGAATTAGAACATTTTAATAAGCAAGCGCGTTTGTTTTCAATATTTAGAGTAGCGAAAACCTCAAATTTTCGGCGGTAATATTAAATATCCCCCAATTTATAGCCTGAAGTACAAAACTATGGTTTATACTCTTCCCCGATTGGAAAAAAATTTATAAATTTTCTAGTTATTTTTTATCGGGATATAAGCGAACCCATTACTAAAGGCTCGCGTGAAGCCTAAACTAAGAAAGCGGGGTGGGAAGGGGGGACCGGATACTCATCAGCAGAAATAGAATACGAAGTAACCTTTATGTTGGATAGCAAACTCTCGTGTGGGAGTCAAAGTGGAAGGGGGAGTGCATATGCGGGTATGCGCTACCGGTCTTAGTCCTTACGGCAATCGCCCTTCTGACGCTCGTCTGGCTACACGAGAAATTTAAAAGAAAAATGCAAAATATGTACTGGTTATATCAGTGGACCTGGACACCTGTGCTCTAAGCCACAAACAAAGCGTTCACCATTCCGAGATGGTGTTTGCCGCGGGGTAGCTTGAGTTTAGGTCCTTCGCCTATGACTGCAAGCTTAGGTAATTCAAAACTGCAGCTGCTTGTAGTGTAGAGTTGGAGTAAAGCCCGCATCTTAGACAAGTCAGCCTTTATAATAGATGGTAAGGTGGCTGGGACAGAATGCAAATGAGTTGTTCTTGTTGTAACAGCCAACTAAACCAAGACCATAAGAGGAGGAGCGTTATGGAGCCATGTGAAGAAGTAAGTAATGCGCGATCGTTATATATTGAGTATACGTTGAGTATGTCAGAGTTAATTCTACATAAGTAGAAGTTTATCCAGCTACAAAATCCAGAACGAAGTTTTGCAAAGGTAATGCGGATCTCACGATGCAACTCGAGTGCTGCGTTTGCAATAGGCGGTAGTTAGTCTCCGATGACGGCATTGTTTAGGCGAGAGTTGGTGAAGGTGTTGATTGAGTCTCGATGAATGCCGTGCCAGGAGGAGCCTAGCTGCTAGCTAGAGGTGTATTCAGATGATCTTATGATTCTTGACTTGGGAGCATTTGGGCTTAGCTGTGAAAATTACGTGCAGACAGAAGGTAAATTTAGTCTACACTCGATGTGGGATACGTCTAAAGAATCAAAAACCAGTAGGAGACTAAAAGTTAAGCTTCGCATGTAAAGCTACTATGCGCTATTGTAGATATGTAGCTTAGGAATTTGAAGCTATTCGGTAAATTTAAAAAAACTTTGTTGGATTGAACTTTCGAAAAAAAAAAACCAAAGACTCGTTGAACAAATATGACAATCCGGAATCCAATTACGTTCCAACGCTTTGAAAGCGAGCAGTTCGTTAGTAGTTATTTAATTTGTACACACACATTGAGCGTAAGCAGCCTTCTAGACAGTTTTCTCACAAAGACAACATAAAACTCTCACAAATTTTGATACAGATAGTATTTTTTTAATAGAAAGCCGCTTACTAACATTTCTTTCTGTACAAGTTTGTGTCCATAATATGAATCTTCAAATTATTTGGAATGAAATTTTGTGATTTGAGAAGGATCACTCTCTCTCTCTCTCTACACCGTATGCGAATGGTGTAAGACTGAATTATTCTCTGTGTTATCGTATTACTTCTGGGAGCATTGAAAGCGCTTCGTATAACAACTAATTGTCGTATGTGCAGTGAGACATTTTGGAAACGTTGACGCATCGATATGCTACCGGCGCCAAATGTGGTCGATTCGGTTTGACGGTAACTGCGCACGGAGTACTTTTTCATTCAACATTGTTTCTTTTCATTGATGTCGAATTTTATGATTTGTTTGATGGCGATTTGTTATGAAGAATCACGAATTTACAAAGACAAAAACATTAGAAACAATAATAATGGAAAAAAGAATATTTTCGCGACATCACAACTGTTTACAACTACTACGTACATACATACATACATAAGTATGAGATGTATGTTTGTACATATACATATATAAATTGGTTCAGCGGTTAACTTACCGATTGGTTATCAAATGCTTGACCTTCTTCTTCATGACAAACAACATGAATATGAGAAATCCTTGTATGGCATTGCAAATGTCCGAAATGTAGAAGATCTTGGCCCATCCTTTGTCGGCGCCTACAAAATACGACAAAATCTCCATAGACCAAGTCACGCCCATGACAATAAATAGGCGTAGAAAGAGTCCGAATCTGTGAAAAGTGAGAGAAAGTCAATAATCTAGAGTAAAACCACGAACTGGGCGTTACAAAAGGAACAGTTTCATTATTATGAGCGGAAGTGTGCCATCAGGCTTGTTTATTTTGGTCTGGTTATGTTTGGGAAATAAATTTGTAATCAGTATTTGGAAAATTATATCCGTTGCCTATATTTTAAAATCGAGTAATATCTAAGCGCCGTTAGATAAACTTTATTTAATTTTAAGCTCGAAGAAGCTTAGTAATTCCACCTTCTTACATCCTGTGAACTTTTGTGATCAATAAGAGCTAAAGCGTTGGTCGGCTCCGTCCTGGCCTCGGGCGAAGCTCTTTCAAGCTTTGTATGCATTTAGTGTAGAAAGCTTGAAAGAGCTTTGCCCGCACATAAGCTCATGCCCATTCTCGACCTAAAGCAACGCACCAATAAAAGTATACATCAACCCACAAATTGGCAATATGGTTCGACTGCGCTGTCATTAGTTCCAGAGCCTTAAAATGACGCCTTTTCGACCTTGTCATAGTCTCTTTTCTCATTGAGTCTTGGAATCACTGGAATATGGGTACGATGAGCTATGACACTATTTTTTATTCTCTGAACAGGGAATTCAGCGGCTTCTGAAATATCAAGTCGAGGGAATGTTAAAGGTGTATACCTTCACATCCATACGCGAGACGGTCGATGTGTTTAAAGGGAAGATATATCTAATAGAACTATCCATGCCTGTGAAGGAGTCTAGTCAAAAAAGAACAATACAACATCGCGTCTACGCCTCTGAAATACTTTTGACAGGTCGAAACGATTAGACTTATGAGAACTTGTTTTGGCTAAAAGTTTGCTTAAAAACAAGGGACAATTCGCTTGCTAAGGAGCTCTTACTATCCATTCGGGAAGTTGTACTCCCACTCTTCTTGATTAGTAACTCAGACGATGCTAAGACAGCGCTTTCAATTGTTTTGGATTATATTAAAACGCATTTTTTACAAAACTCACTTATCCTTTTCGGTACGCAAATTCTTCGTACTATCCTCGCGCGCCATTATTCGTGCCATTTCACGCTGCACCTTGTGTATCTTCATGGCGGTCAAAACGAACATTATGCTGTTGGCCATAATTATCAGTACAATGGGACCAAAGAAGTATATCATCGCCGACCAAGTGCGCACTGAAAAAGAAAAATTCACGTTTTTAGTAAAGACTAACTTATGTAAATGAAAGTGAAACTACTTACTGTCCAACCAGCAGAACTCCCCGCCGCCAATTCCGGGTTTCAGATAGTCGGGTATATCAGCGACCTCTTGTGCATACCAAGTGAACACCAGAAATGGCACAGGGATGCCCCAGGCGTATAGTGAGTAAATAAGGTAGCGTTTCTTCTCCTGGAATCGATTGATGCCCCGTGTGCCACGAAAGTTGTGCCACAAATCGAAGCTGATCACACTCAACCAAAAGAATGCCGCCATAAAGAAGTAGTAGGCCACATAACCGAGGGTCTTGCAAAATGCTATGCTGGAGTAGTAGTCCATGCGCAAGGAACTCATAGCCAGCAGCGAGTAACCTATTATTAGACCAATCAAGTAGCAGACCAACGACTTGCCGTGCTGATTGCGCAATTCCGGAATGCTCAGATAGACGACAATGGTGAGTATCATGAAAGGTATGGAGAAAAGCATAGCTGGTGGGGATAGAACGTATAATTTATTAAAAAAACATAGAAGCCATTCGAAAGCGAACAACTTACCATACGCATTAATAGTCTTAATGGTACTGAAGTCCGTATCGTAATTGCAATTGGCCGGATTGATGATGTACATAGTGTCCGTGTAGTTCGCCACAGTCGGATGGAAGCAGAATTCGTTCTTACTCAGATATACCATGTCGTCTACACGGAGTAGCGTACCATTCTGCAAAGAAATAATTCGTTTGACTTCCATGCGTAGGTACATCGGTATGTCACTCACCTCGAACAGTTTCCAATCGTCAAAGGATCCCAGCTCTGGCTGCAGTGAGTACATGAATTCGCAAGGGCGAAAACTTTGCACCGCAAATTGTTTGAACATGTCGACCGATCTCAGCGTCTCATCTGGCAATGTCAAATTCAGCAGCGGCTGTGGCCACTCGTAGTCCGTGTTGTTAACGCAGGCGCTCTCGTTGGTGCTGTAGCTGGCGCCCCATGGACAGCAAATGTTTATGCACGGCTTCAACTTGCAGATGCACGCACGTGCATGTGGCTCGACTTCCACACGTCGCACCAAGTCCGTATAGATGTAATCATACCAGCCGACCAGTTGTGATGGGATCAATACACCATCGTGCAGATAGGATCCGTTCGCGAACCGCAGATCGCCGGTAACATTGACTGTATCGAAGAATGTGCAGGGCACATGGATGCCATCGCGCTGATGGAGCTCCTCATTGTATGCGCTGGCTAGCGGTGGAATGCAAAGGGCTATAGTCGAGCAGATCAAGACGACCAGTAGTGGAAATCTATGAACTTGTGATTGGGTGTAGAGCTGCGACATGGTGACTTGAATGTGGGACGGCTGAAAAGAGGCGAATGGGGAGAAATTGTAAATTTTCGGGCGAATATTTTGTCAGTTTAATCAAATCAAAAAGGTTATCAATCACGATCTCTTAAATATCCCTGATTAAAATCTGCTGGATATAAGTAAATAGGCAATTAGGATTTGTAAAGAGTACAGGGCCTGGGTTTTTTTGTAGTCATGTAGTATATGGTTTCATGCTGAAAACAGTAGAAATTCTTGCATATTTATGTACCAATGTACATTCTTCTCATCTATTATATTTAGTTTTAAGCATACTTAAGGTTAGGTCAGTTTGGCATCCAACTACCAGTCAAGGATAGTCCTAAAACATTTCGCCCTGTCAGAGGGTGTAAGTGAAATACTACTTTTTACACTTTTTTTGCTTTTACACCAGAGTGCAGCCTATTTACCAAATAAACGCCTTCTAAAGATGGATCTTTTATCCAAGTTCACAAATAACGGAACGCTTTGGTGACTAAATACAATTACCCTTGCATGTCACCTTACGGATCCAACAGAAACATTCATCTGGCAATACTCGTAAGTGGTGCGTATGTATGTCATAATCATAGGGAATAACTCCAGGACAACCACTCAGAAAGAAGACTACGGTTAATATCATAGAAGCGATAATATGAAATACTTGGGAAATTTTTTTTTATGCCCGAGTTATGTACGTTATCTTCAAGTAACGGGTGATTTTTTTCAGGTTAGGATTTTCATGCATTAGTATTTGAC